ACTTCTTAAAAAGTAATTTGAAAAAGAAAAGGTTGCTCTGACAAGACCAACCTCCCACCCACTTTGCAACACAGTACAAAAATGTGTTTTGAGAGCGCTCAGTCTCATCAGTAAGGGGATACAGATCCTTGCACTGTACTGCTGGGGATGTTACCTGTTCTATTTTGTTTAACCTGGATTGTCAAGTAAACAGGGCACTGGAGATGTATTATACCTAGCAGAGACTTATCTATTTTCATTTGATTAGATAGTGTTCAGCAAACGTGCCCATACTCTTTGCCATTGAAAGGTTAAACCAGTTAATTTTGTGGGTTTTAATAAGATTTAATGTGAAGAGAATAAGGTTACCAGAAGAGCTACAGTGTACTTGTGCCATTACAGTGGTAACTGCCTCAGAACTTCAGGGAACAAATGGTGCTTCTCAAGACCTGTAGCATATTATCTTTCTGGAGCCGATTGGAGACTAGAAAGGGTAGTGTGAAAGTTTTAAAATTACTGCCTTAAGTATATGCTCTAAAATATTTCTGATAAAACTATTAAAAATATCAAATTGTAAATCAAATAGACACTCAGGAATTTACCTGTGTTCAAGTTCTGTGATGAAGCTTTGTGTTTGATTCTGCTTCTTCGAACCAATAACTGTACGCTGTATGTAAAGAGTAAATTGTATGTTTGGCCTAAAAGCAGTTCAAAGTCCAGACATCTGTGAACACTGCTGGGACCCACAGGATACAACACAGCTCCATGGTTTCCTAGGTTACATGAAGCAGCTGTCTTAAATGCCCAATAAACAACTAATTAAGGATAAGTGAGTAATAAAAACATCCCAGAGTTAACGACACCAGATTAAATCGAATTAGAGATGGGTACTACATTCTCCATTTTTTATTAGAAATCAGGAAATTATAAATTAGGAAATTTTAATAAGTTTGAAATTATTTTCTCTATCTTTCTAACTTATGAGACAGCTACTGGGGACTCACAGTCCTTGCATATGTGCTTCTTAGCCAAGTGACAGTATTTCAAAAATGATTCTACACCTCCCTGCACTTTACTCAAAAAAGGGAACAATTTAACCAAAACGTGACCTCTCCCAGAGTCTGACAGGGCCACTGACCAGCAGATTTTAATAGACCTCATTAAGTCTGCATCTTCTTCAGAACATGAGACGTGTTTCAACTTGTCCAGATAAGCAGATGTGTTAAATTAGGTAATCGAGGGTTTAGGTGAAAAAAAAAACAGAAACCTTCTGGGTCACCAGACTGGAGATTTAAGTGATGTTTTTCTTAGGATGGTTGAAAAGAACGTACAGTCACACCATCCCTCTAGAACCAGAATTCAACAATCCAGAATTACAGCAGTCTGTGCTTGTTGAATTAACTTACAATGAGCATTTACTGTGGGAAATAATGTATGAAGATGGTAAATGTTACCTTCAGTTATATTTGATAAATACACAATTAACCTAACGTCTGTATCTTGAAATTAGAAATTATGACCAAGAAGCATGTTTTTTGTGTATTACACAGTACCCTTGCAAAATAATGAACAATTAACTTCAAAGTTACAATGTTATCTTCAAAATACCGTAAGAGATAAAAATTAGATACGTAAACGGAAAAAAGCATCTAATGTTTTTAGTTATGTATGAAGCCACATCTTAAACAGAATCGCAGTGTCAAAGATTTCAGAGGAAGCTGTTCTCGACCATACAGTTAGCAGGGGACTTTCCAGTCACGTGTCATGCACATTGTCCATCTACCTGCTTGCTTTCACCTCCACTGCGACTGCGCACTGAAAGGACCTGCCTGTCCGTGTCGCGGAGATGATGACGTCAGCGAAAAGGAGGTATTGCTTTGCCACGTCGGTCGCTCTGTGGAAGCGACAGGTCTGGAGTGGGAGAAATTGTGATAAGTTTTTTTTGTTTGCTTGGAAGTATTGAAATAAGGAGAAAGAAAAACTTTTTTCAGGTCCCTGAGTGCATGAATAAGCATAGCATTCCGGTGTACTTCTGTCATAAAACACAAACCAAAATCACAGAAATAAATGTTCCGTTTTGGACCTGTATAGTTGCAACCCACGATCAGTTTCACCACAACTGATGTATCAGCGTCAACTCCATCCACTGCTCATTAATGTGTGAGTAAAGATCTTTCTTTTCTTCAACAAGGAAGTAAAATCATAGGATGTCTTTCTTTAAAATATTTTTAACGGTTAGACTAACGTTTGATTAGTGTGGGAAACTTTGAAATACCATTTCCTGGCGTCTGTTCAGTTTTTTTATTGATTGTCTGCTTCCTGTGTTCAGCATACTTTTGGAATTTGGATTTGATCGAGAGAGCAATTGCACGTTACTGCCAATGCATTGAACTTCAGTATAAACAGTACGTTTCCCAGAGTGTAGGAAATATCCTCATAAATATTTTTTTATCATCGAGCATCAACACGTAACTTCATTTTTAGCCAATGATGTAAACATTCATCGCAGAAAAGGGATTTCCGAAGGACTTTTTCTCTCTGTGTTCGTGTGCTAGAATCATAATAGTGTCATTCCATTTTTTTTGTCAGAGCGAAATGAATGAACAAACAATTCGTAAAAGACTCTGAAAATGCACCTACTTCTGTACAGTCTGCGCAGTGAAGCAATTGGCAGCAGTTAATTTGAAACCCATTCCACGTGTAGGAAAATATCATGTGGATCCAGACGGCACTAGGAAAAGTGTTAACTGCACGAATATCATATGAATATTGTGGCTGGGCATTTTAGGATAAATGTGAGCCGTTCCTTTCCCGCATTTCGTATTTTTATAAGTTTAAGTCCTAATTTATTCTAGAAACCATTTCAGGTATTCGTGATACTGTGGTTCTAAGTGTAACATCTGTGGACTTTACGTGGTGGGATTGTGATTTCTTACCTTGGTGTAAGGAAATATGAGTGTGCTCATTTTTTAGTGGTATGCGGTCTTTTCAGTAGTACTGTAGCAGCGTGTAAATATTGCACGAGACTAATGAATGCACCAAACCGTTTTAAATATACCTGGACAGCATTTTCGTAACAGGTTAGGGATCGATTTACATGCATTTTTGGTGGTGGGGGGATTGGTATTGATTCGGGCTGAATGCGACTTTGATTCTAGCGACAATAGTCGTCTTTTCTTGGTGTAAGCGGAGATCACGACCGAAGCATCGAGCCTTGATGACGCTATACCCACTATTGTGGTTGTGTATGATTGGAGCGCCTCTTAACAAAGGGTCATACCCAGTGGGGGCCCCATTTTCAAAGGTGATGCGACAGCGCGATGCGATTTTTTTGTTGTTGTTGTTTCCAGGTGCAAGCCCAGTCTGTCGGGGTGAGAAAGACGCAGCTGCGTCCCACTTTCGACAACAGATCTGCCTGGAAAAAAAATCTGACTTGTGGGTCCATACAAGCTTTTGTGTCGAGGTATTGGGCGTTACTGGCCTGCTCTGACCCGCCCTGTAGTTTACTAGCCGATGCGTAATCAATTATGCCTCACTTCTCCGCGGAAACTGAAGCACTCCTCAATGGCTCAGCTTAGTTAACGTGCTCTGATGTGCGAAATGAAACCCGTTTGGCTTCCAGTAATTTTAAGGTTCCAAAGTATACATTCAGCTATTTTTTTCCCCACCAAATACGACAAGTTTAATTTCCTCTGCATTCCTGCATACTAAATTGACATTGCTGAGTAATGGTAACTGTTTATCAGTGTGCTGATGCAAAAAAAAAAAACATTCACTGTGTGATCGTGTAATTGACGACTGCACGCATGAATGTTAGACAACCTACGCAAAACTCGAGCCAACTGTTAGGAACGGCAGCAGGAGCTATTTGGCTGTGCCACAAAACGTGGTATCGCAGGACTTACGGTTCGGTTTGCTGGCAGAAAACTGGTTTCCAAAGGAGGTCATGAGACACAGTATAATTGGACCAGACTAATGTCCGATGATCAATCAGAAGCACAGCTCAGGTGCTTAGAGGAACTCCATTTAAAACTGAGTGGGAAGCACTTCTTTACACTAAGGGTTGTAGGAGTATGGAACAAGATGCCCTGTCTTCCTTCAGGAGATGCTCTCATCAAGTACGTAGCTTGCTCAGTGGAGCGAATTACATGAGTGGCTACACTGCAGCAGTTCTGGCTGTTAAATGAAAGCTGTCAGTTTTCAAATAAACTGGAATTGTGTTTAAAACAGGGTACAGGGGATGTATCTTTACCTGAGTGGCGTGGGAGCATGAAACAAGTTTCCCAACCATGTTGTTGAAGCCAATACCCTGGCCATCATTCAAGAAGTGGCTGGATGAGACACTTGGACCAATTAGCTACTAATTCAATTCAGTTCAACTTTATTTATCGTTATACTTACACACAGGTGTATAGTGTAGTGAAAAGTGTTTCTCACGAGTCTCTCGGGTGCAGTATATAAATAGGACAGAAGACAAGACAATGGACAGTGTAAACAACAGTATGGTGCTAGTGCAATATCGTCAAGAAATGTGCAAATACGCAAACAGAGAAAGTATACAAACAGGACAAAAACGCCACCTCTCATGTACAACTTGTTATCTTTAGGTTGTAGATGAAATCTGCTGTGTTTCAGTTCAATCGGTATTTCAATCCACAAGATTTTGACAGGGTTCTTGAGTACGTGAAAAAGGCTGCCATCTTGGTAGATGCGGTGTTCCAATTTTTGCTAAAAATCTGATGATTTTTCTGTCATTGTATATCTGTCTAAGGTACCTGGTCTTTAATCATGAATATTTTAAAAAATGATCACAAACCCTTGCAGTCTCCATAACAAGGCTCTCTTATCCAGATCCTGGAGGGCTAGTGTGTTTGCAGATTTGTTTTCAAGCTCATGTCTTCGTGTGTGAAATTGGGCTTAACTGGATCAGTTCCTCTCTACGGCTTACAATGGACCTAGAAAACCTTCAGACATCTTCTGGACCAGGACTGAATGGCCTTTGCTTTAGTGCCGTTTTCTGCAGATTCTGATGTCACAAGCTGACCATTTGGCCTGCCATATTGAAGTTACAGTATTATTCTGTCTTGTCTGATATGAAAGCGAAACCAAGTTTAGTACTTATTTGCTGCATTTGTACTGTCCATACGAAGCTAAGCTTTCTGTTCAGTGGCTGTTGGTTTATTTAGAGACTGGCTGTGATGTATCTTGTCTTATTTCCCTACTATTTTGTTTTTTCCTCGTATTTCCTAGTATAATTGAACTTATCTGATTGAAATTACTGCTGTTCAGATGACACATTCACGTACTAATTTTGTATCTGCCATTGACAAGAGAACACTGTTATCTTTGTCCCGTGTGCGGTGTGAACGCTCTATTTCTCCTTTTCCCGAATTTTTGCGACGTCAAAGAGAAATACGGCACTGCTTTTCCCTGCCATATTACAGTACTCAAATCATTATGTTGGCGTCAACATGGATAATTACTCTGTATCAATTTAAGTTGCATATTAGGACTTAATATATTAATAATACTTCTTCATACTTGTTCAACACACTGTGTGACCTTTTTTTTTAGAATGTGCCTAGCTTTCAGATTTCCCTGCCCTCTTCCCCAAAAATATGCGCCAGTGTCAGGCCTCAACGCGAGGTTGTGTTTTTTTTCTCCCACAATGCCCATCATCATCTTGCCTGTCACACGCAGGACGCTCAGGCGCTCTTCCAGTTGGAAACTAAGGGGAAGGGCGTTGCAACTGAGAATTTGAGGCGCTTCTTTGAATAAAATACATCATGAAGGATCCCGAGCTGGGAGCCCTCAGGTCACGCGGCCCCTCAGGGCACCGATATGTCATCGCGGATTCATGATTTTTGTGGCGCCGGTTCCACTGCATCAGGAGCGCCAGGTGGCAACGTGAACGATGGCCATCTGATGGGTTGCTGGGATTTCACTTACTGCCCTTCCTATTACAGGACACTGCCCTCATCCTGCTCGCGTGCGACTCATCATTGTGTGATGAGCATGTGACAGCTGTACCCTGGATGCCCTACTCGCCGCACTATTTGGATGTTTTGGGGGTGCACTGGGCACCATGTGGCCCCTAGTGCTCAGACACACGCCGCAACCCTAATAACACCCTGCTAGCGGCGGTCCTGTGGTCAGGACCTGACACAGGACCAAGTAATAACAAGACGGGAGCTAAACCCTTTTCCGCCTTCCCCAAAACCCAGTTCACCCGTAATGGCCAGTCCTAGGAATCCTGCGAAACCAGATCAGCAACTAGGAGATGGGAGAGGGCCTAACAGTGTTTCTGTATTCTCTCCACTTCTTTCCCAGACACATTGGATTTCTTCCCTGGCACTAAGGATCTGAGCATGAATGCCGTTTCTCAATGACTTTGTACAATACTTGATTAAAAAGCATAGTTTTTCATTAAAAAGTCGAGCTGTACCTTGAAAGAAGTGGCTTTGGACTGTGTTTTCCTTTTACACCTGGTGTGTGGCTGGAAGAATCTGTCAACGATGAGTTCACAGAACTTCACTGCTGTCTGTGCTACCCAGCATGAAGTTACCTTATTGAAAATAATGATTCATTTTTCCTTGTTTTTCTACATATCATGCAAGATAGCATCAGTTTTATTTTCCTAATCGTGACTTTGATCACTGTCAGTCCTGTAGTGACAGTTTTGTTAATTTGTGTGTATTGCCAGGCAGAGTTCCCATTTTGTACTAGCTGCACAAGCTGTATCATAGCCTACAACACAAAGCCTCTAGCGTGACAGTTTCTGTTATAGCTGGTACTGCACTGGGCCACGGATCTCATTTTCTCAGGACTCGGTGTACTCCTGCACATTCAGTGACACTCTGTGTAGGCAGCATTATTCCAAGGCCTCAGTGATTCTTCTGTGGCAGAATCACATCATTCTGATTCTTTCACTACTTCGGTTTTTCAAAACTTGCCAGGCACGCTGAAGGATCTGAGCCTGACTTGAGCAGAGAAGGATACGAGGGGGGCTGATTGAAGTATTCCAAGTCCTAGTAGGTAGACCGCCCAGAACTGAGTCCAGGACCATAGCGCTGTCAGGTAGCAGTATTGACTTCCATACCTCCATAGCGTCTTAGAACTAAGATTGCAGTGCAGCCAGTGCTAAATTGTCACATGAAAAG